TTCCATCGGTTTAAGGTTTCAGTAGCAGAATTAGCCATCTTTACGCAAAACGTGATGCTCATTCGCTGTCCCAGCATTTAATTTCTGCCATGAAAATATATATATATATATATATATATATATATATATATATGTATATATATATATATATTACAATAAAGTTCACCTTTGTATTTTTCCCAGGGCCACTCTAGGGTTAGGGATATTTTATATAAATGGGAGATGGGAGGGGAAGATAACGATTAAGTCTTGACTTGATTAGATCCTCTATTGAGTCTGTTCCACAAAGCAGTGGTTCCCGGGAAGAATATGTTCAACTGTAACCTACTTCTCACGAATTAAATACGGAGAGAAAATAGGATATATATATATATATATATATATATATATATATATATATATATATATATATATATATATATACCTATTTCTCTCGACTGTAGTTCGAATTACAGTCGGATCCATTATCTTCAGCTACTTGCTAATACCCTTGGGAAAGGTATGAGTCCCTTCTTATCCCCCCAGCTATAGGTAATTAGAAAGACAAACTGGGTCCTATAGCCTTGGATGGCAACTGGTCTAGGAGAAGGACAACTCTGAATTCATAACATGCAGAGGGTTGTTTTTAGACCTTGTGGCACGTAGTGCACCAGGTCTCTGTATTCGGTATTTCAAAAAGTGTCGTTGTTTCTGCAAAAAGCCTTCAACACTATAATCAAATCATATGTGGTGTTGTCAGGCTGTCGGTTAGTAGGAACTGTGCTGCTGACCCTCATACGTCGAATATGACGGGAGAATCCACTATATATATATATATATATATATATATATATATAAATATATATATATATATATATTAAATTATAGTTCACCTTGTACTTTGCCCGAGACCACTCGGGGTATAGGGTTACGTTAAGGGGATGATAACGGTTAACTCTTGATTTGAATGGATCCTTTTTAGTCATGTTCAAAGAGCTGTGGTTTGCCCGAAGAATATTTTCAACTCGAACCTAATTCTCACGAATTAAATACTCAAATGTCAGACGTTTTTAATACAAGAGATATTGCGGCCAAAATGTACAATTATTACATTACATGATCCGGTAGTCCACAAGGAAATTAACACAACAAAATTCTGAAAAAAAAAAAGATTTTGTTATTTGTCACTCAGTGAAATACAGTGTAACCCGGATATCAGAGAGTTGTCGGGACCGGAGAAGAAGTCTCTTATATCCGGGTTTCTCTTATACCCGGGTTTGGTCTATTTTATATACATTAACACAGGCTCTAATTTGGAACCATAGAAAATATCTCTTATATCCGGGTTTCTCTTATATTCGGGTCTCTTATATCCGGGTTGCACTGTATCAGACTTTTTAATAAGAGATGAATTGCTGCCAAAATGTACAATTATTAAATTACATAATCTGGTAACCAACAAAGAAAGTAACACAACAACATTGAGAAAAAAAAGATGTTATTTGTCACTAAGTGTAATGTTAGACGTTTTTAATAAAAGTGGAATTGCTGCCAAAATGTACAATTATTAAATTACATGATCCGGTTGCCAACAAGGAAAGTAACACAACAACATTCTAAAAACGAAAAAAGATGTTGTTATTTGTCACTCAGTGAAATGTCAGACGTTTTTAATAAAAGATGAATTGCTGCCAAAATGTACAATTATTAAATGATCCAGGTGCAAACAAGGAAAGTAACACAACAATATTCTAAAAAAGGAAAAAGATGTTATTTATACCATTTACATTATTGAGAACATTGTCCTCATCTTGCTGCCATATTTATTAGAACGTTTCGTTCGTTGTACGCTCCGATCTTCTTTATTTCGCTCACTGGGGTATACTGTTCAAGTTCCACGTGCCTTATCTAATGGCTGTCAGTTATCTACTGTTAATTCCCCTCTCTAAGTTTACCACCAGGTATTGAACTCACACTCTTTGGGTCCTATCACTAACGCCGTTATCCACTGTGCCATGTGTCCGTGAAGACGTTGGTTGATGAATTTCTGGGTATTATAAACCTAATGTTTTCAGCATCCATTTCTACCAGTGCTCATATTCCAATATTTTCTGTTATCATTGCTTTTTCTTTTACTAGAGCTCATATTACAATTTTTGTTTTTATTATTGTTTTTTCTCTGGCTCCCATATTGTTTTCATTTGTATGCTTTGTCGGCTTAAGAGATTTTTGTGGCGTAGCATATGTGCTGATTCTTGAAGTTTACGAATTTTCCAATGAGGTTCTTTGTCTATGATCTCAACCTAATCCCACAGAGGGCCGTGATCTCACTTTTCTCCCCATATGGGGTCATCCACGCCTGATTTTTGCACACCCCCTCGTGTAACAGCCTTTTGGAGGTCTTGAAGCCTTACCTTAAGGGGGTGGCCTGTCTCCCCTTTATATATTTCTTTCCGCAGATGCACGGGATAGCGTACACACAGTCTTTAGTCATGCTCTCCTCTATCGGGAGAGATATCTTCGAAGCGTCGTCCAGTTTTTGAAGTTTGTCCTGATGTTATATGGACCGCAGATCCTTTGTATTTTCTCTGATAACCCCTTCACATAAGGCAGGCAGACTGTTTTCTGAGTGTTGTTGTCCTTCTCTTGTACCCGCTTATCCCAGTTTTGGGAGGCCATGTATCCAGGGTAGTTGTTACGTTATAGGGTACTATTTATACTGACCAATTCTTTATCCAATGTCTGTGTGTCACCATTTATGACTTTTGCTCGGTGTTGTAAGCGCTGTATGGATGGTGGAATTTGAAATTGAAGTACTGTCCGGTGAATGTCGGTTTACGGTATACGAATGTCTTGAACCCATGCTCTGTTCTAGTTATTAGAACATCCAGAAATGTGAGTTTGTTGTTAATCTTTTTCTCCATCGTGAACTCTATCGAAGGTCTTATTAAGTTCACATGGTCCAGTAGAACCTGAAAATCTATCTGGTGTGGCCAGACTATGAAGGTGTGTGGTCGTAACACAACGATTCAACTGATAATAGCAGATAGGAACAAAAACCCGCGAGGAAGGTAACCGACAAAAACCAGTGTAACAAGTCCAACCTTCTCACAAGCAAAAAGCCCAATGATCAGAAACAAAAACGCACCTGCTTTATACAGCCGAAGACCGACCGCGATTCGCATGCGAATGATGAGACAACGAGATTTCGCGTTAACTGTCAGAGACCGCCTGGCGTAAAACATGGGCGCCGCCATTTTGGTTCCTTTTACCGTTGAGCAAACCGGAGTTTGCACATCACACAGATTCGCAGGCGTTTCCGAGGTAGGTCATTTTCACAATTTCCCCCACAAGGTGTCATCTATATACATTAACCATTGAGTTTGCTTTAGAGATATGGATTCTAATGGCATTTACTCAAAGTATTCCATGTATATATTCGCCATTGCTGGTGATAATGGCGAACCCATTGCTAAGCCCTCCTCCTGTCGATATATGTGTCATCCCATTCCGAAGTGTGTTGATTGTGTACAGAAAGTCAACATCTCCATCAAATTATCTATTGGAATACTGGTCCGTTCTTCTAGGGATGAGTCAGCCAATCTGTCTTTGATTACTGAGACTACTCCGTGGGTACCTTGGTGAACAAACTCACCACGTCCAAGTTCACCGTCTGGTTGGATAGGATGGGAGCATCTTTGATTATTTCCACAAAGTAGACAGAGTTTCGGACATATGAAGGAGACTTTCCGAACAATGGGTCAATTATATCTACAAGGAAGCGACTTAGAGGGTGGCACACAGAGCCTTGGCAACTAACAATCGGCCTGAGTGGAATACCATCTTTGCGAATCTCAGGGAGACAGTATATGTGAGGTAGCTTGGTGTAACGCTGCTATAACTGCCGATACGCCTCAGGTGCGATGTGATCCTTGTTCTTGATTAGTGACAGTTTGCGTTCCATTTTCATTGTAGGATCCTTTTTTACTTTGCCGGGGCTACCATTGCTAATAAGGTCTTCCAGCTTTCTTGTATAATCTGATTTGCCCATTACAACAGTTGCATTGCCTTTGTCAGCCGGTAGTATGATGATGTTTTCGTTCCTCTGTAGGGATCCAATCGCCAGCCTCTCCAGTTTCGTTATGTTTGACCTGGGTGCCTTGGCCTTCTCCAAGATCTGTCTCACCTTCTATCTCAGTTCATCCGCCTGAGCCTGAAGGAAGTTCAAAGCCACCTGCTCAATTCTGGCAATGATTTCCAAGTATGGCATTCACCTGATGGTTGTGGCGAAGTTGAGACCCTTATTCAATAGTGACTGCTCAGAGGCACTCAGTTGATATTGGCTGATGTTGATTACAGCTTTCACTGGTGGGGGATGGACCTTGTGCGTCACCTTCTGGTCTTTCAGTCTGTTTAATGCTTGTACTTGGCGAGCCTTGACTACATCGAATTCCTGTCTGAAGGATTTATCCAGGTCATTTTGGATCCTTCTCTGGTCTTCTTCATTGGTAATTCTTTTGAAGAAATCCTAGAGGCTCTGGGAGATATGAGCTTGTAGGTTCTGTTTTATCCAACAATTATACTGGATTTAATAAGAGTGGAATGCTGCCAAAATGTACAATTATTAAATTACATGATCCGGTTGCCAACAAGGGAAGTAACACAACAACAATCAGGAAAAAAAACTTGTTTTACAAGAAATAAGAACAGCTAAAAAAGAAATCAAACATGTAAATAAAAAAAATCAAGTGGAATAAATTTTTAATCGCAGTACATTGTCGTCTTTAATGATACTTGTATAAATAGGTATTCCTTCCCAAATACACAATTAAATATATGTTTGTGTGCGCGTGTGTGTGTGCGCGCGCGCCCAAATGTCCATTGTGCAGAGCGTATAAGGCACTTACGTCTTAGGAAAAAAAATGAGGCCAAACAAAATCGTCGTATATGCGTCTAAGGACCTTGCTGGCCTGAAGAGTCGATGTCAATCCCATATTTAATACCATATTCATCATTGTTATTTATGTATATATGTATGCAACAGTTTTTGTGAACGCTACATTTCCCAGATAGATAGATAGATAGATAGATTGTAAGCAGAGAATAGATAGATAGATAGATAGATAGATAGATAGATAGATAGATAGATAGATTGTAAGCAGAGAATAGATAGATAGATAGATAGATAGATAGATAGATAGATAGATTATAAGCAGAGAATAGATAGATAGAGAGATAGATAGATAGATAGATTGTAAGCAGAGAATAGATAGATAGATAAGTAGATAGATAGATAAATAGATAGATAGATTGTAAGCAGAGAATAGATTGATAGATAGATAGATAGATAGATAGATTGTAAGCAGAGAATAGATAGATAGATAGATAGATAGATAGATTCTAAGAAGAGAATAGATAGATAGATAGATAGATAGATAGATAGATAGATAGACTCTAAGCAAAGAATAGATAGATAGATAGATAGATAGATAGATAGATAGATAGATAGATAGATTGTAAGCATAGAATAGATAGATAGATAGATAGATAGATAGATAGATAGATAGATAGATAGATATACATTTATATGAACGTTTTTATTTCTTTGTGTAATTATGGCTGTATAGTTATTTTCAATGTTCTCATTGGAGTTCATTTTCAGTATTTTCAATATAATGTACGTCGTGACTTCAAACTAATTGCAAAAAAAAAAGAAATAAATTTAAAACATTCGGAATTATTTGAAACAGCCGACCATATGTAAAGCGTTTACTTTGCAGGAAACCTGTTAACCTAATTGAAAAGTTTACAGCTTTTAGAAATAGTTGCTTCGGAGTGTAGACACGAGAAAAAATGCCAGTTTATTTTAATATATTTACATCCAAACTAAATATCGTTTTTTTCTCAGTTTTTCTCACCTTTTCACTGATTTAACTTTGTCACCATTACTCGGTAAGTTTTAGAATATCTACATTTATAGTATATATATATATATATATATATATATATATATATATATATATATATACTAGCAGACTTCGCTCGCTATCGCTCCGCAAAGCAAGATATATTCATTACTTGAGATATTTGAAACAAAAATGTTAAATTTGGCTTGTTATAGTTAAGGAAAGTTCTACAAATAGATGCCAACTTGTTGAAGGCCAAGTAACATGCAAATTTCAAACATTTTTTTACACTGAACTGGCTGATATTCCTAAAGAGAACTATTTTTGATATGAAAATCAAAACAATCCTCGAATAAATGAACAGTAATGAAGGACAGTTAATTAGTGAAATAAACATTTTTCAAAATCAATATGTAAATTAGTTAAACCTGAAAAGTGATATTGATTAGAAGTAGATAATGTATAATACAGATATTGAGCTTTTGACGAGTAAAATTACTGTAAAATAAAGCTGGGCTTTTTAATCTCATAATTCATGAGAGAATTGAGCTCTAATTACGCCTTCATTCATATTGATTCCATGATATAGGTTTTACTTAATTAGCTATTATGTTTCTTTAACCCTTGAATGTGTAACTAATTCTAATTTCTGTTTTCCCATCTTTACACTATATTAATTTTATCTTATAATTTGTCGCCTGTTGTGTCACCCATGAAATAAAACTAATTGTCTGTACGGAAAATAACGATGTACGTACATCAAATCGTCTTTAAATTAAGTGGAAGCAGGAGAATTATCCTTGAACTTTTAAAAGATATGGTTACACATTAATTCAATACCTAAAAGCAGGGATCAATTTTGAGTTATTCTGTAGTTTATTGATGCCTATCGAAGGTACTCCTCCCTCGCTATTGTGATGATGACCATCCCAAAACCCCTCTACGTTTAGTTCTCTTAATTTTCTTTATTTTACGTTCATTTTTCTGTCTTTTGCCAAAAGTTTTGAAGTTTTTGAGTTTTCATTCCGCCCTTTTTTATTTTTTATCCCCTTATTTTTTCCTGTTTCCTTTATTATTACTTTTCTTTCCTTTTCGTATTTATCTGTATTGAACCGGACTTGTTTTTTTTTCTCTCTGTTTATTCACTCTACGTTTGACTTTATTTTCTCTGTTTCTTTATTCTTCATGTTAATTCTTTCTTCGTTGTATATATCTGTTAAATCTTCTGTATTTTTATTTATTAAACATTCTGTGTATTTATGTTTTTGTCTAGTCTGTACATTTTTTAAATTTTAGTTTCCTATTTTCGTTCATCAGCTGACCCTTTAACGGCAGCCATTTTGATTTCTTGTTTATTTTATATGTATTGTTGGTTTCGTATTTCTGTTTGTAGTTTGTCCTTATTATTTTTGTAGTAAATTTAAAAAGAAAGGTGTGTTGTTGTTTCAACGTATTTCTTTCTTGTTTGCCTTATTTTGTGTACTTTTTCGTTTTTTTTTTTTGTATAACCGTTGTTGTTTTTTAATTCCGTTCAAACTGTTTAATTGTTCTCTGTATTAATTTTGTGCATATGTAAATTCCTTTTCTTTTTCTAACGTTTTACTTGTTTTTTGACCACTTGTTAACGTTTTTTCTTGACAAATCTCTTTGATTTAATTTTATTCGTCTGAAAATTTTACTGATGTTTGGTACTGTTTTTAAAAAAGGGACCCTCCACATTTTTTTAAAATGGCTCGATAAATCTTTTCGGGACAAGGGAAAAAAAAGAAATACCAACCCGATAAGCATCATAAAAATATGCAGGAGGAAGACTTGGAGAAATCGATGGACAATGAAAGGGAGCCAACTTGTTAGCGAAAATGTTGACTCCAGAGAAAGTATGGTAGCTGGAAAATGTCAAAATCCTGAAGAAACTGACGAAAATATGCCAGTCGAAAATAATCAAAATGTACCTAATCAGACAACAGCAGCAGATGGTGACGACAAAAGCATAGACGAAAGTGTAGCGGCGAAGTGAGACCCTCCTGCTGATCGTTCCCTCCTAAGTGTACAATCAACATTACGAAGTTCCTCAAAAAATCCAAAAGTTACGCACATCTGGTCACAGCAGACGGGCATTTCGTCAATCCCGAGGAACTAAAGAGAGTTGAGAAAATAATTGTGTCACTCTTTGTGGTGAACAACCGTTCTCACAAATTTTTTTGCTCCACTAAAGAAAATTTCTAATGTCTCTGGGGATCAAACCTCAGAGAGTAATCAAAGGAAAGGGATATTTCATGTAGGACGTACTGCTACCCACGCCTGCCGACTGTGAAGCCACATCCAGTTTTGATCTTTTAACAATATACCTTATTCTTCATATGGAATATGAAGACAGCCGGAGAACCCCCTTATTAGTATTTTGAGGTTTCTCGTCAGACCGTCGGGGAGCTATTGGCTCCATGTCAATTTGGTTAGATACTCAGTGCTTTCTCTGACCATCTGACCGGTGGATGGAGTTTCGATATAATGATAGATCGGAAGGTCTTCCTCTTTATCCCCAAGTATCTGAATGTAGCGGGCCAAAAAGTGCCAATTATTATCACCAACTTGCTGGAAGTGTGGGCAGACTGATCACCTGTCATCTTCCTGCACAGATAAGAAGGCCTCTGAGATTCTGGCCAGTGTCGACCGAATCCCCCTTTGTTCAAGTCTGTTGCATCCGTTTCGCCTGTAATGGGCTTGCCAGCGATCGGCACTGGTGTGGTTAAACAACTCTCAGCTCCCATTCCCCGAAAATCTTTTGCCCGTCTCTAGTGAGGTTGCGGAGAAGGAAGAAGGGGAATAGCAGATCGTTGGTAAGGTCAAACGAAAGCTCCGGGCAGCGGGACCTCATTCCACTGAAGTCCCCAAGGCTAAAGACAAGCAGAGCCTCACTCCCCCTACCAGTTTTAAGGGCAACTCACCTACCACCTACTCTGAAAAACTGCACTAACAGCGCCTGAAATACGAAAAGAAGGAATAACTAGAAAAAATAAGAGTCCTTAAAGAAAACGGATTCGACCAGCAAGAATTCTTAGGTCATCTTTATCAGCTCCATCTTCACCATCCACAAAACAGCTCCCTGTGGCCCCATCCCTAGTCCTGAAAACTATAACCCTGACCCCTCTCTTTCCAAATCCGCCTTAAAAAACCCACTTTTTCAATAACTCCCAATTGTGGCACCATGCATAAGTTGGCAAGCTGAAAAGAAATATTCATAAATATATGATTTGTTCTTTACGGTTTGTCAACCGTTTGATAATTATTTAGAGCTGAAAAATATTTGGGTTTTGAGAATAATTCTTCCTTTACGTTCAAGCGATCTAGAAGAAAGAAAGAGAAGACAGAAGAAAAAAAAAGGAGAAAAATAAATAATACGAAACCAGGTCGTAAACGAGCACACACACGCTCGACTGGCACATAACAGATGACAAAAATATCAGGTCAAGCACCTGACCTACTTCCGTGTCCACGAAAAATGGAAGTTTGTTATGAAATGGTTGAAGAAACAAAGTTTAGGGACAATGGAAAAAAATATGATAGGTAACAGGTGGGAAGTGTATCTAAGGATATGAAGACAAACCATTAATACGAAAACATAGGCAATTCCAGAATTGAAAAAAAAAAAAAAGCACAAGATGATGTTGGCTGAAAATGTTTTTGAGATAATGAAGATTTTTTGTTATCAAGCTTCGAGGAAAGAAAAAGTGAAATATTTTTATTCGTTCACGAAAACGCCACCCAGTCTGAGAAATCCCTTTCTTAAGTCGTGTCCAATTAGCGATAAACTGCTTGACAAATACCACGTGTAAAAAAAGCCGAAGGTGTCATCGCAGTCGCTTATGATAAGGGCAATTTAAATTTTTATTTTTTTAAGCAAGGTGTTTCTTCCCCCAGAATTTGTTCTGGGGGAAGAAACACGGGTTGCCACGGGTTGTCCACGTTGCCTCGTTTGCCACGGGTTGTCCACGCCCGACTAAAGACGTCATTGGCTAGATGGGATCACGTGGCGCACGAAGGAGGGAGAAAGATACCCGACCAGGACCTCATTGGCCGAGAGCGGTCACGTGACGCACGAGGAGAATCGGTCGACGCCCTTGTTAGAGGTGTAAGTGTGAGGGGCCGATACGAGGAAGCGGGGAAGTGGGTATACGCCCTCAGAGACACAATAAGGAAGTAGGAGTGAAAGTGAATTACCGAAAATGGAAAATCCCTAACCAGAAATAAGAAGGGTGGATATGTATTTAGAATTATCAAGGAAAAACCCTGGCGCCGACAGACCCACCCCAGTTTTTGACTGCGTCAATAAAAGCGGGACCCCAACCGACAGAAAGCAGTTTTGCGCCACGGACGGCGAGGGAGATCAGCCGCGGACGGCGGGCCGGATTCGTCCCCCCCCCCGCTAGCGGGCAGGAGAGGCCAGCTCGTTTGGCCGAAGTGAAGCAGCTCGTTTGGCCTAAGTGGAGAAGTTGGAATCAGAGCAAGCTGAAGAGAAGAAGTTAATTCGCGAACTGACGGCGGAGATGAGTGACCAATAATTCAGACTCTGAAGAGAAGAGATCAGCCGCGGACGGCGAGCGGATTGCAGTTTGAGCCGTGAACGACAAGCAGAGATGAGCGCCCAGTGTTGAAACCGCGTCAAGATAGCTAACCAAGATTCACGCACACTTCTGGACTCTTCTTCAACCAAGAACAAGTAGTTTGAAGAGCGACTTAAAATCAGACCACA